GCACAGGCTGCTTCTTTCATCTCACCCAGAACACTGATCGTCGTGCCCAGTCAAACGGACTCCAAGAGCGCTACGCACAGGATTCACAATTTTCAGTGGCCCTGCGAATGCTGCCAGCGTTGGCTTTCGTACCAACTGGGGACGTGGCACTTACTTCGAAGCAGTGGAGGATAATTTCCCCGACGACGCCGAGGCGATCCTCACCTACTTCGAGCATTCGTACATTGGAACGCTCCGCCCAAATGGGCAACGGCGGACACCACTGTTCCCGATTGCGCTGTGGAACGTACACGACCGCACTCTGATGGGAGAGGACCGCACAAACAACGCCCAAGAAGGATGGCATCGTTGGTTTGCATGGATAGTCACCTGCCACCACCCGACTATTTGGAAGGTTATCCAGTGTTTGAAAATGGAGCAGGCCACCACGGAACGAGAGCTTGAGCGGCTTGTGGCAGGAAACTCTGGTCCTAAGCGGAAGAAGAGATATCAGCAATGTGATGAACGGCTGAGGGCTCTGCTACAGTCCGTCGAGCAGCGACCACCAAGCGACCACCAAGAGAGTTCCTCCGTGGAGTAGCACATAATCCGGCGTTCACTATTGTCGAATAGGCGGAACGGCTGAGGGCTCTGCTACAGTCCGTCGAGCAGCGACCACCAAGAGAGTTCCTCCGTGGAGTAGCGCATAATTTTGGGTTCATTGCTGTGTATAGTAAATGACCATGTCACACGTGCATACTCTCGTATTCTTCATATTTTGCTTTCTTTCGAAACAATGCATTTTTGAGTGCATGCCTGATCAAATTCGGTGAAATGGGCTGTCGATGAAAACAGTGCTCTGTGACCTGTCTTTCGGTGATTTGGGTACCCTGTGAAATGGGCTGTCTGTCAAAAAGGTAGTCTGCGAAATGTCATTCAGTGAACTGTCGTTCTGTGAATTGGGTTTCTGTGAACTGTCGGGACACCCTTGATGTCCCACATATCAATTTTTTCGAAACGAAACTCCCCTTGGCCTTGCAAGCTTGATCAATTGACCCACCCATCCATACGAAACTTTTTCTCTTCGTGTAAAAGATCGATAACGAGAGAGCTTGGAAGCGCAGGGCCCTACGCTATGCTTTTTTGCCTTGATGACCTAGACAAAAAAAAGCATAGGGATGTTATAAATTCTTTAAAAATCCTTTTTTAAAGACATATCCTGGGATTCGAACCCGCACTATCGCGCCCTGCATGCATCCCCCGATACACTTCGCATACATACCAATTCTTCCAAGTTGCTTCACATTATGATCTTGCATTTGAAAGCCCTATTTGAATATGCATTGTGGCCAGCCGTCTTTGATGGTACGGTACGGTAGGGATAGGTACGGGACAGGTACGATCGAGGGTAATACAACACCGTCTCCCGGACCGTACCATCAAACACAGCTGCCTGCAATATTCAAATAGGGCTTTCAAACGCAAGATAATACCGTGAAGCAACTTGGAAGAATGGGTATGAATGCGAAGTGTATGGGGGAATGCATGTAGGGCGATAGTGCGGGTTCGAATCCCAGGATATGCCTGAAAAGAATAGGAGAATTGAAAAATTTATGACATCCCTATGATTTTTTGCCGTCAGATACGGGATAGCGCCAGGCGTGACACAAACAAACAAACACACAAACACACAAATACCAAATTAAAGCTGTGTGGACCCTGGCTAGCGCCAGACGTTACTGAAGTAACGTCTTCTGCATAGCTACGGGAATAACGAGAGAACTTGGAAGCTCAGGGCCCTACGCTATGCTTTTTGCCTTGATAAAAAAGCATAGGGATGTTATAAATTCTTTAAAAAAATCCTTTTTTTAAGACATAACCTGGCATTCGAACCCGCACTATCGCGCGCCCTGCATGCATCCCCCGATACACTTCGCATACATACTAATTCTTCCAAGTTGTTTCACATCGTGATCTTGCATTTGAAAGCCCTATTTGAGGTTGCGTTTGGTTGGGCATTTTCAGAATGTAAATGACAACCATTCTGGAATGGGAATCGGCAAGAATCACCTGACCAAACTAACGCGCCAGAATCAATAAGGAATCACTTGACGTAACAATTCCATGATGTCGTTGTGGAACGGCGGCTGTCTTTTCTTTTACCCGACTCTAGTTTCCTTGAGAGAGTCATGGTACTTCTGAGTGCATGATTTGAGGCACTTGAACCTGTTGCTACATTGTTTGGCTCGTGGCAGCCATTATCATTTTTGATTCCGGAATGAGAATGCTCATTCCAGCATGTGAGGTGGAATGATCATTCTCCAAAAAGAATCATTCTCAGTGATTCCCATTCTGGAATCATGTGGAATGTGACCAACCTAACGCACTTTTTTGACCAACCAAACGGGCGAGAATGATTCCGAGTGATTCCAAGTGATTCCCATTTGGGAATGTGACCAACCAAACGTAACCTGAATATGCATTGTGGCCAGCCGTCTTTGATGGCACGGTACGGTAGGGAATAGGTACGGGACAGGTACGAGGTGATTTGTAAAAATTTTACATGGCATATTATTTTACAAATCAAGTAAAATATCACTGTTGAGGACGATTGCATTCTTCCCATGAAGTGTTTTTGTTAGTTCGACAGACAAGTGAGTTGCCATTGTAATGTAGTTTGTAAGCATCAGGAGCGTTTAGCGGAATTGTTTTCTTCCACGGCCTTGTGAGATGTCAATCATGGATCGAAATTCGTGAATTTGTGGTCAATGAGGTAAAATATCCCTCAATGGATGCTTGAAGAACGTCCAAGAGCCAGCGAGCATATTCTACGGCAGGTGGAAACCCTAGGCTGGTCACCGATGCCAGCATTTAGTCTGTCACACCGTCAAAGTAGCAGGGCTGAAGAAGAGATTAGCCAAAAAGGTGAAGGTCAGAAACTGCAATTTTGACAAAAGGTGTCTTTCACTCACCTATCATGAAAGGTGATTCAAATCCAAGTCCGAAGCTGCTGATGCTTATGGCATACAGGTTAATAATTAGCTGTTCAGTAGAGCTAGCTGCGTATGAAGCTCAGCTTGCTACCTCAGAAGTGCTGGTAGAGATTCACGATGGCAAAGTGCAAATTCAGGAAATGCGGCATGAATGTATGTTGGGGGTTGACGGCGGAGCACCCATTGAGGGTGGTCTGCAGTCTTCTTCCAACACAGAAGTATTATGAATCAGGTGAAGGAGTCACTGCACTTGTCTTGGAGAGTATGGAAGCCCCAACATTGTCAGTATGTGCCGGTTAAATGCACTGTGGCCCAGATGCACGAAGGCACCCTGTCGTGGGACGGCCGGCGCGCATCATGGATGGTATTTTGCTTAGTGTGGTTATTTCACGTAAGGGGATGCACTGCAAGTTGAAAGAAATGGAGCAGCAAGATAAGGTCTGCGTTCTCATGCTCTACAATGCCGGCAGGCGGTCAAAGATACCCTACCGTTTGGAACCGCAGTTGACGACGTACAGAAACCAATACGTAGGGCAACCTGCAAAACCAGTCTGCTTTCTCTGCATGTGACTTGCTTCAGATGTATCTTGATTTCCCATTGAAAGCTTATTGACACATTCAGGTCATATTTGTTGATGTTAGACCCTATTTTACTGACTTGTAAAATTTTGTACACACTTTTTCTGGGTGAAAAAATGCATGCAAAGCAACCCCACACTGTGTCTCTCATGTTTGTGGTGTTCGATCAAGAAGTCCATACGTGGATAGAGGACATACATAGTGACAGAATGAGACCATGCACACTTCAAAACTCGCCAGGGCAACGGAATGATAGCCTTTTTTACTTTCATGTAAAATTATTACAAATCACCTCGTACGATCGAGGGTAATACGACACCGTCTCCCGTACCGTACCGTACCATCAAACACAGCTGGGCACATACAGCTGCCCGCAATATTCAAATAGGGCTTTCAAACGCAAGATAATAACGTGAAGCAACTTGGAAGAATGGGTATGAATGCGAAGTGTATGGGGGAATGCATGTAGGGCGATAGTGCGGGTTCGAATCCCAGGATATGCCTGAAAAGAATAGGAGAATTGAAAAATTTATGACATCCCTATGATTTTTTGCCGTCAGATACGGGATAGCGCCAGGCGTGACACAAACAAACAAACACACAAACACACAAATACCAAATTAAAGCTGTGTGGACCCTGGCTAGCGCCAGACGTTACTGAAGTAACGTCTTCTGCATAGCTACGGGAATAATTATTATGGACGGCCCTTATATGCATTCCCTTTCGAGTGTGTACTGAAGTGAAGGAAGATGAATACCGTCTACTTGTAGATACATGTACAATGTAAGGTGTGGTTTACAGCAGGAAGGAAGGAGCACAGTGGTCCCTCTATAATCCGGCACCATTTGTGCCACGGAAATCTGCTGGATTAGGGAGGGTGCTGGATTAACAAATCGGATTTACTGCTGCCAATATGCACGAAGAGGACATTTTGGCTACTGAAAATTGTGCCGGTTTATCGAGGGTGCTGGATTAGAGAGGGACGACTGTATAGAGTTTGCTGTCGCCGCAGTTCTGCTACTTTTCTATGCAAAAGAACTCTCTCACTTTTGTTGCGATGCTAGCAACTTTTGAGCCTTTCCTGAAAATATGGATGCGATTTTAGGAGGTCGCACTTGTTTTGGCATGGTTGCGAAAAGCATAAGTTGCGAAAAATTATGGCATCTTTGGGAAAGGGCTATTCCTGAGACTGATTGTGCGAAGAGCGATCACCAAAAAGTCCTTGGCCTTGACTGTTCACACTGTTCGGCATTGTGACATGTGGTCAGACAAAACGTATCCTGGTGCTCTCAGATTCGGAACAAGAAATCAGAATTTGTTATGATTATAAATACATGTAACATGATTGTTCGGTAAATAACTTGATACATTTCACTTGGCTAGTATTGAAATCTATCTACCCTAAATGCACGTATAGGGGTGGCGGAAGAATAGCAGAAATCCAAACCTCTTTATAAAAAAAAAAACACATTTCAAAACAGCAGATGTGTAGCATGTACATGCCCAGCTAGTATTGCTCTTGTTCTATTTGCCGAATTTGGGCTGTCTTTTTTTGCTCTGGTTCCACTTTATGGGTTCAAAAATAAATAATAGAAAAAAGTATTTAAAAAAAATCACGGTTTGCGTGAGACTCGGCTGGAGCCCGGAGGCCGAGTTTTCCGCATCCGCAGGCCAGGAACTTCTGCGCCTTGATCCTGAGGATGTGGAAAACAATCGAAGAATATTTATATTTGAAAAAAGTAGATGTACATCAGATGTTCAGTAGAATGTGTTGTGGATGTCTCCATGGCGATGAATGCCGTTCACATGATTTCACATTCACCGGGACCTATCCGCTGGCAGCTGCCAGCTCAGCTGCGTACACGTTTGTTACGAAGTCCTGAAGGCGCTTCATGAAGGCCACTGGTTTGTCGGCAGCTTTGGAGTTGACCATATGTGCTGGCACGGGCACCTTGAAGTTCACTTGAAGAAAGTAGCACATAGACGCTGCAGTTTCGTCGCCTTCGACATCGCGGAGGATGAAGCCGGAATATATCGACTCGCCTCTACAAAAAGAGTACAAAAGAACGGGTGTGTGTGTGTGCGCATGCGCGTGTGTGTGTATGTGTATATGTGTGTGATGCACAGATTACAAAAACCACCCACCCCCCTCTCCTCCACATGCACACACACACACACGTACACACACACACACACACACACACACACACACACACACACACACACACACACACACACACAGGCACGAATCTTTCACTAAGACTTGACTTTAAGCGAGGGTCCCTGGTTCGAGTCCTGGTGGTGAAAGTCAATTTTTCCTCAGACTTTTCCGGTTTGTGTCTTTCCCTCGAACCAGTGAAAAGACTTTACTCTTATTTTTTGCCAGCACACTTGGTTTCTCAGTTACCTATCTGGCCCTAGGGCACAGAGGTGTCACAGCCTCTGGCGAAACACCAAGCACCAAAGGGTGCGATTGCGCAGTGCCCCATGGCAGTGTGGTCGGCGGGCCTTTGTTCTTGGGCGATATTATTCTGAGAGGCGAACCTAGCGCTGTCATGTAGGTGACCGCCGTCGTCCCTTAAAGCCTTAGTCTATGCAGTCAAGCTGTGACTGCTACGAGAAATGTTCGGTGTGAGCGCTACCTCAAAACGTTCCACCGTGGTCGAGCGATTAGAGCCCTCTCTTGAATAGTGGCCCATCTCGAATAGTGCCCCAGTCTCTAAGAGCCAGTGAAAAAAATATAGCTCTCTCTTGAATAGTTGCTAGAGTTGATAGCCAGATAGTTGTGGAACGTCAGTACCGTCGGTCAGTGGTGTGCAATGTTATCGCATGAGCTGATTGTCAAGTAACTGGTGGTGTTACTGGATATTACAGCGTAACTCGTAGTTCCTAGGTCCTTTTCTTTACTATAAATTATTCATTGGCTCTCCATCCGAGTCTATTTTCGCAAGAATATGCTAGTTTTCCGCAAAACTTGCCGGAATATGCTAGCGCAATGCTAGTTTCCAGAAAGTGCTAAATATGCTACAGTCAAACCTCGTTAGGACGAACTTCAAGGGACCAAACAAGTTTGTTTGTCTTATCGGGAGTTCTTCTTATCCAGATCTGGCAAAAATATTGATATGCATATCATATGGACTGTATTTATGTGAAAGTGCATGCTGTGGCAAATGTAAAACATTTTTTTCATAAGATAACCCAGCAACAGGCAAGTACAATGTGCAAGGAATTCATGATAACAGTACATCCGCCTTGTAAAATGTTTTGGCACTGCAAGAGGCTTCAACTATCGGGAAAAACTAGAGCTAGCGTACCCACGGGGACCAAAAGTTCGTACTATACACTGATTTTGTTCAAATTACGCTTGAAATTAGTTCGTCTTCACGAACATTCAAAGTACAGAGTTTGTCGTAAACGGAATTTTTGGACTTGATAATGATGCCTGGCCAACCTAGTTCGTACTAAAGGAAAGTTCGCCTTGTCAGTGTTCGTCCTAACGAGGTTTGACTGTAGGTGTACGTGTAAAGCTAGCATTATTCGCCGGGGCCTACCTGGGCTTGTAACCAAGCGCATGTGCAAGGTTGGTGTTCTTTTAGTAACGTTCTTGTTCATGTCAATTGCACAGGTGGTTTCAGGATCAAAATCACAGTTCTTTAAACGTCTTGCTGCCGTTTCGGTTGAGCTGTGATAGTTTACATGTTAAGGCGAGGCTCTGTGTTTCATTGCCCTTTCTATTGTATGCTGTATGCCGTAAAAGTACCAGCATTGAAAAACTAGTGCCCTCTCTTGAATAGTGCCCTCTCTTGAATAGTGCCCCATCTGTGATGGACTTTGACAAAAGAGTGCCTCAGGGGCACAAATCGTGCGGGTACGGTACTGTATTAGGGTATGACTGAGCGGAAAGTCAACTCTTCTTTCTTCAACGCTCGTCTCTGTCTCTCACCTCACTAGCCCGGGCACCTTCGGCACTAGATCCGTCTCGAGTTGCCTGTTGATCACGTAGGACTCGGTGGGGGTTTTGCGAGGTACGTGAGTAACGACAAAGTCCCGATCAGCCAACAGCGGTACATTCATGGCCACGCATCTGTGAAGCAGCAAGAGCACAACAAACCATGGTTAGTTTCCACATTACAGTCCATTTCAAAAATATAGACGCTTCATTGGTATTTTTGATATTATTTCAAATTTGGCTGGAGCTTTTCGAGATTTTTTTCTGGAATATTGCTCAGGTCCCTCCTCCAGTTGCTCTCATATAGATTTAAACACCCAATTTCCAAATGCTTATGCACAAAGTGATCACAGATTTTATGTGGTATAGATGCTGGCCTAACGGTTTTTTTGAAATCACGCGTCTATATTTTTTGAAACGCACTGCAGAGTGCCGATTATCCACTGATCAAATAATTAACCCGGATACTGAGCCAGTAATAAAATTTGTAAAAAAAGAGACGAAAACACATGAGAACGACTTATGCAGCAACTATCCATGACTGTTTATCATCTTGTTACAGTCGTGGATAGTTGCTCCAAAGTCGTTCTCATGTGTTTTCTTCTCTTTTTTTTTTACATCAAATAATTATGTAATCTTTCCTCTTTTATTTACAATGCAGTTGTGTGATGTCCACCAGTTTCGGGGTGAATCTTTTTTTCTGCTGTCTTAACACACTTCTCTATTTTTCTGTTCTCCTCAGTTAATCTTTTCCTTTCCCTTATATTTGTGTGCCTGTAGTTGATCTCATGTAATAACGCATCACTGCCCGTTTGTTTAAAAAGAAAAAGAAAGAAAGACAAAAAGTCCGAGTCCATGCCTGTTTATTCATCAACATTGAATAAACCAATCCAATCCTATCCAATCTGCACCCCTCGGAGCGCAGGCTGTCTCCAGGAGGTTCGGATAAGAAGAATGTTCGGATTAGGGAGCAGTCCTGCATCCATCTAAAACATGTATATTCCTGTATGGCTCGAAAGAAGTTTCAGCACCGACGCACTATTGACACTATCATTGATTTAGGGGTGAGACGGGTGTGCCGCGTATCCGCCCATTAATCCTGCATACCGTTAGCGAACGGGTAATCGTTTGAACTTTGAGCGTGCGCGATATACAGTAAAATGCAGATTCACGGTGCAGTGCGCCTAGCGTCTTGCTCTGCGTGTCGTACATGTACAGGGAAGTGAGGCCTGATCGATGGGTCCACCAATGCAGGCCTGGCTCAAGCCGTGTGTGCTTGTGCATCGCGCGGGACGGGTGCAGTCTGTACGTCGTACTTTGTGCACCCAAACCGCCACGCACAACCTCGAGAAATAGTCAGTTACCACCTATAACTGTGTTCTTGAGCTTGGATTGCGCTGTAGCAAGCAGTGCTTGTCATGGACAAGTAAGCAGTTCGTCATAGTCGACCGGTCGCTGTACTTTAGTCTTTTGGCCTGGGCTTTGCCATCTCATTGGGCATTTAAAGCAATCTGCGCTGAAAACCGACCAGCAAGAGCAAAAGCAGAAGGCAACCGGTGCCAGCCTTGTCAAGCACCTGGTGCAAGCTAGACTGCCCCACTAGGTGGAATTCGGTCTACTACATGTTGGACCGCCTGCTGGAACTGAAGGTGAGCCTCCAGTTAGTATTGGCTGACATGGCTGACAAAGACTGACGTGGCCTCGATCTGACTGCTGACCACTGGTCCACGGCGGAGCAGCTCCTCGATTTTCTCAAGTCAGTGGACCGAGTCACTACCACGCTGGGCGGCGAATCGTACTCCACCATTTCATGGCTGAACCCTCTCCTTGTTGGTCTGAAGACAAGGTGCTTGCGGTGTGACGAGGATGACATTGACATGCCAGTCGACAGTGTCCAAAGACGTTTCGCGGCAAGTATCACATCTCGGTTTGGCCTCTCTCCGCTGGACCCCCAGTAATGCTGTCTTGGCTGCTGCCCTGGATTCAAGATTCAGGGACTTGAAGTTCCTCCAGGAAGACGGGCAAGATGCGCTGAAGGACCTGCTGGTTGAGCAAGCTAGTACTAGTATCGGCACTTCACCTGTCATCCCGCCTGGACCAAGCTCCGAGCCGCCTGCGAAACCGAGACTGTTTCCTGAATGACCTTCTCCGTGAGGAAATAGCAAATGAAGACGAGTCCATAGTTGCGGAGGTGCGACGTACCTTCGGGAGAGGCCTGTGAGTAGAGCGAGTGATCCTCTCACTTGATGGGCTGCCAATGAGTCTCGTTTTCCTCGCCTGGCGTACTTTGCCAAGCGGTACCTGTGCATGCCAGCGACGTCGGTGTCGTCAGAGCGAGTATTCTCTTTTGCCGGGAGAATTGCGGACAAGCGCTCGCCACAGCAGACTCTCAGCAGCAATGATTGATGCAATTGTCTTTCAACACAAAAACGCATTCCTTCTGAAGCTGTCACAATTTACTACTATATCAATACAACATGAGCCTGAGCGCGCTAAAATATGACCACAGCTTTTTTTGAAAAAGTCGAGATAATCACGATTTGAATTCCGCGGCAAAAAAACCGAAGTGCAGTGCAACGCGAGTCGCTGTTGTTGTTCTCCTCGGTCGACTAGACTGTTCCGGATGCATTTCTTTGTTGCAAGTAAGTTTATTTGTTTGAGTTTGTATTCCATGTTGCGCTGAGTCGCCTAAAACTGATCGTCATCGATGTATCGACGGAAGAGCCTAGTAGTAGTAATGTACTGTGGAGCGGAAGAAGACAACATCCTGGCACTCCATGCGCAAGATAAAATATTTGACGGTTCGGGTCGGAAACAGAAAGAAGACGATGGTGGCTACAGCGACGAGTCATTTGAGGGCGACACTTTCATCGAACGTAAAATAGTTGATGGTGGTAGTCCCATGATCTGCAGTGACGAGGAATTCTACTCTGATGACAACCTGGCAAGCGATTGGCATCGACAATGACTTGGGAGCTGAGTCGGCCGAACGATTTGGCCAGAATGGACATCGCTGCACATATCCGGGACAATGCCAGTGTTGGTTGCAAGTGGAAAAGCAATCTATGGACTCTGCTGCTCCCTCAACTTGCTCAAGTCGATAAGTTGAGCACCCTTATGCGGAACATCGCTAGCACGAGCAGTAGGCAGCGAAAGCAGTACTCTCTGGTGAGCGGGGAGATAACCGTGTGCAGATGGGCTTTGGTATGGGGAATATGAGTGCGACGTCGAGTATGTTGAAGAAGACTATGTGCAGCAGTGTATACTGTATATCTGAAACTACAGGTGGAGTGTGATGGAGAGGACGTGGAGTGCCAACTTCTTCGGCCATCTACAGATGTTGACCGTGTTTTCGCTGGCGGTTCTCCAGTGGTGCTCCGAACAGGAGGTATTCCGGACACCCAGCTCAGCTGCCTATAGAAATTTTGGATGTGGCCGAGTACCTGTCAGCTCATGCTATAAGACCCTGGACAGAGGAACTGACGGGGAAAGGATGAACCAAGGGACATATCAACAGTGTGCAAAAATGACAATCCCATTGCTGTACGTAGAAATTCACCATTTCAACAGTGCTCTATATAATACCATTGTCGCAACACTTAGACATGTCAGATCAATCCAAAACTTTCAGACAGTGAACATTAGGTGTGTTTCATCATTTTAGAACAAAAAACTGAAAATCGAATTTTTGGTCTGTGGTCATATTTTAGCATGCTCTGGCTCACATAATTATTTATCACGTAATTGTTGATGAACAGAAAAATTACAAAGTGCATAACACATGTTTGTCTTGATTCTTGGGGCGTGTTTAGTTGGTATGAACTAGAACAGGATTCACCAGAACAGCGCGTTTGGTTGGCACTGCACCTGTTATGGGTCGGCCAGAACATGTTCTGCTTGCTCCGGCCTCGAGGCCGGAGCAGACCGAGCAGTTTCACTTTTTCACAATGAAACCTGGCGGGAACATCGATTTTAGTCCCAAATGATCACGTGCATACGCTTTTGGGTTGGACTCGTCGTACCGTACACAGTGACCATGGTGACCAATACACATTTTGAAGAATGCACCAAGTTTGGCATATCTTTCACAAAAACATGCTCTGTTTCTGGAGTACCGTTTGGTTGGCATGAGGCTGCTCCATGTGCACCAGCTGTTCGATCCTGTTCTAGATCGTACCAACCAAACGCACCCTTGAATTTTCTATCATGAGACACAAAATGCAACAGAAATGATTGAAAAAAAAGTGACATTAATCAATGATTGTTGTGTATTTTAAACGATTTTTATACAATGGCTGCTAAAGAGTACCCGTTATTAAACCCGCCAGTTAAGAAAAAACCCGCTCGTTAGTTAAAGGTACACCCGTTTGACCGCTAAGATTCGTAATTCATCTTGACTCCAACTTGTTTCAACATTTCTTTTAACAGTTCTCTTGTCATAATATTTCTTGAAATTACCCAAAGGCAGCACTCTACTCACGTGTACAATATCTTGTGATACGCGAACTCCTTGACAAAGCGATATTCCTTCATGTTGGTGTCAAAGCGCCTACGTAGTGATGGCTCGAACATCAGGTCATATACTAGAGCAGCAGAGACCAAGAGATGGGGAAAGTTTTATCACAGTTAGGCAAATAATTCCTCGAGTTTTAGATTGGTGGACAGAAACGAGAGAGAGAGAGAGAGAGAGAAATAGATGGATAGATTGGATAGATAGATAGATAGATAGATAGATAGATAGATAGATAGGAAGTTAGGCTGTTAGAGAGTTAGGGAAAGAAAGAGAGAAAGCACTGATAGTTGCGCACTGGTGGGGGTCTACACACATTAT